ACATGTAAGTATTTCAGAGTTGTGTTGGGTAAATATGTAACAATGGATGAAACAATTTTTGGAGTGAGTTTTTGTAATATCATAAGTAGACATTAATTATGTTGTTTAGATGGCATTTAACAACTAAGACAGATAGTATGATTAGAAAGAGACAGAGTGGAAAGGGTTAGATTTATTTAACATCAGTGTACTAGACTTCTTATAGGTAATGTGTACCGGGACCTGGACTCCCCCTCTGAGTTAGAAAGGCTTTGATCCCGACCCTCCAAGCAGACAACGAGACCTAACCCAACAGGAGACTCCTCCTTCTCCATCGTACAGACAGAGAACCAGAGCTGAACCAACAACAACAACAAGACTACATCAAGACTGCAGCCAGAACTATCTCCACCTGTGGCATCCAGAACCAAACCAGCATGCTGACATACAGAGAGATACTCTCATCGGTCCCTCAAACAGGACATGAAGTTCCAAACTGCGCTGCGAGATTTGGCACAATAGACATGAGAGCAGAATCCGCCCTCCATAAAAACAGCAGAGAGACTGTAAAGGAGGAGTGCAACAACAGTGGCATGATGGGGCTGCAGATGTGACTGGGCCAATGGCTGCCTACAAAAGTTACAGTGGATGGATTCAACAGCTGATGGACTGAAGAGAAGACAGAATCAGAGGAGTTGGCATGGTCGATTAGAAGTGAGGAGGCCGGGGTCACGGCTTGAGAAAACCAGGGGAGGAGGAAAGGAGAACGGGAATGAGTGAGTTACACATAAACACACTTATTCACGAAACGCACATTTAAATAACTTGAATTAACTTCATAAATACGTAAAGACAGAAAGATTTATTAATCATTTGGTAAATTAAAAATAGCAGTAAAGAGGAAACTATTAAAGTAAAATGATAATCATCCTAAAACACACTGACAGAGTATAACCATATTCTTCAATATTTTCATCATGTTAACAATTCATTCTTTAAGACATTTTTATTCACGTGTGAATAAAGTAGTGATCTCATTGGTTACAATATTGATCACCATTAAAAGGATAGTTTTAGGAACCACTCTATAGGACAAATCTTTGTTTGTATTAATGGCTAGTGCCAAGCCACATATTAAATTCCAATCTAAAGTGTTGATTTCACCATTGTGGCATAGTTATTACCAGACTTCGGTTTTAAATCCTTGATAAAGGAGGGAGTAATTGTTGCATGTTCGGACACCCAAGGTTCCACACACTGCTAAAGAGTTTAACATCGTTTTTTAAGTAGACCAGAATTATAATGAGCTATGAAATGCAGAGCGACACAGATCCTAGTAATGTTTTGACTCAAGATAATAGTTATTGTACACAAGTTTCTGAAATAGATCATTAGACATTTTAATTAGTAGTGGTACTCGAATGAAGTGAGTTTTGTACCAAGTTTCAGGAAAAGTGGGAGGCGGAAGTCCCAATGACAAGTGAGAATCATCTTGAAAATTATAGTTGAAATCGTGACATATTTTTGTAGACAAAGGATACTGGCCTATGCTGAAATGTCAAAGTCTCTGCAGAGCACGACACATGGCCAAAAAAGACGGAGACCAACTGACCTTTGACCCTGACCGACAGTGTAACTTGACAAGGCACTGTGGATGACTGACTCTGGGGTGAAGCTGACCAAACTTGACATGACAACCAGACAGTGTGAGTGTGAATGAATGCCGGCATGTGATCAGTGTAACTGCATGATTCTAAAACAATAACTAACCAAGCATGTTTTTGGACTAACATATTATTTTGGAGCTCCAAGGGAAACGAGAGGTTTCCTAAAAATTCCACAAAAAGGGGAAACCGCACATGTGATATTTTCCTCTCACATGAGTTGGCGGTTTGCAAATGTAAAACTACAATCTGAAGATTCTGTTTCTTTTAGGCCGGAAGGACGGAGAGGAACACTTCTTTTCACTGAAGTGTTCACTGTGGAAATAATGATAATAATGTTCGTTATGTTCCTAACCAATTACCTGACAGTTTTTGTTCCCCTCCCATTACAGGCTTTTGTTACACATGATTTCATGTGTAAAAAGGGGGAGTGAGTAAGTATAATGTATAAATGTCAACATGGCTGTAAAATTCACAATTTACATTTTTTAAGGATTGAGCATTGAATGTAATTAACCTGCTCCATATCTGGGGATAAGATACTGTTTGATGAATGTTGAGATGTTTCTAAATATTGATTTGAATTATAGCAGGTAACAAAGAAGCAGTGGCCAAGGGGCTACTGTGAAACCGAAGAAGTTGACCTGTGATAGTTAAACAATTTTGTAATATTTTAACAGACATTAGAGCAACTGAGGTTTGAAATGTAGAAAGAACATATTACAGTTAAAGCTAAAACATAGTAGTGTATTGAGACAGAATTTAATTTAGACAACATCATGTAACTAGCCTGGTAAAGGAGTAAAAGCCATATACTTTATTATTTAGGTCATTATAGGGATATACATTTAATCTAAATTTATAATAGAAAGACATTTGATGACAGTTTGTTGGAATTCTGTATTCATTTTTTCAGCGTGATAATATCTAAGCACTGACAGGTAGAAGCAGTATCACCAGGAAATCATTCACTTTGTTAGCATCGTGATTTTGGTTGTTTTTGAATCCATAACATTAGTGTGTTTCTTTACCAGAAACATTAGCAGTTCATATTAGATTTGGATTTTAAATAGGATTTCATTTAAAAATAAACACAGATGCTTGTCAGAAATTCAGAGCTATTGAAATATGTTATTTAGTTTACCTAAAGATGTTGAGGTTCTTATTTAGTTGGCACAATCCAAGTATTAAGATTCTGAAGCTGTACTGGCAGATAGGAGGTCTACAATTAATTTGGAAAACCTGTTCACAGACGGCTGTTGTTTCAAGACACCCCACCAACAGGCTCCAAGTGGGTCAAAACAGCTGAGCGTAGGCTTGAGGGAGTTGTATCAGATTTCTCCACACAGGTCACCGGCGCCAAAAGGGGGACCCGAGAAGCACGAGGACAAAGTGGCTCAACCCCAGGCTCTCCGACCCTGACCGAGTGACCCAGCGGACCTCTTATGCCGTCTGCCTGGGAGAAAAGGGGGACAGCTCGTACCACGGGAGCCAGTGTGCGGCGGGGAAACCACCTACTAGGACCAGGGGACGACATCAGGACGGACGTGGCCCTGGCAGACGTGGACTACTCGGAAGCAGCAGACTGGAGGAGCAGGACCCTGGAGACATCCTTACAGCAGACGACCCGGGAGGCATCATCAGCGGGCCGGAGAAGGAGGACCCTGGAGACATCTCTACAGCATCGACCCGGAAGCCGCCATCAGCGGGACGAGGAGGAGGAAGACATCTCTCTAGCAGGCAGCCCAGAAGCTGCTGTCAGCGGATTGGGTGGACAAAGACACGGCAAGCCGGGACGGCGCAGCAGAGGAGTCTACTTTGCTCTGATCAGTTCTACCCGTGAAGGGAAAGCTGCATCTCCCCCTCCCTATTAGCTGTCCTTGTGGGCTATTCCTCGGGGGGGGGGGGGGCTGATGATTCTAGCACTCAGCTACCCCCTCATGGTTCCTTCACTGCCATGGAAAGTGGTGTTCGGTCTCCATGAAGGTTTCAAGTACTCTGAATACCAGCTTCGGATGGATTTACGGACACAGTAGAAAAGAATGACCGTGGGTATATTTCAAAATGCCTTGTCTAAGTTTATCTCTGGAGAAGGAGATAAAAAGGGGGATTTGTAGAGTTATATTTGTATTTATTCATGTTAGCAAACTATGGATAAGCTTAAAATGAGAATAATTTGGGTAAAACTGTGAGCTGCATTTGGGGCCTGTTGACATGTGTTTTTGAGGACAAAGGAAGATGGGGGAAGGGGAGAGCATGTCCTGATTTGCATTCAACTTAGATCTAGCTGCAGTGTTTGAGGTTAAGAGAGGTCTCTTGGGTTTCTCTGGTGCTTATCAATAGTAGCAGTTAAGTGAATACTGTTCAAACAATACCTGTGTTTGTGTTTTATATTGATTTCTCTGTTTTATCCTTTCATAAATGTAAGGACTACAAATGGCTATAAACATTCTGGGCTGGTTGGAGTAAACAGGGTTTTATGGCTCTGTGGGGGAGGTGTAGGTATGCAGGCCTTGAGACCTTTGGTTGTAAAGTGAGCCTGTTTGGTTTCCTGCTGCGTTGCGTCTCCCAATGAGATGACCTGAAAAGATGACCAGCTGACCTAACACCAAACCCCTCCTTCTTACTCTGGTATATCTCCGGTGGATCCCTGGCGTTCGGCCTCTTCTTCACATGCTGCCCTCGGGTGAAAGTAGCTCTGTAGTATGCGGACTAGAGCAGGAGTAAGCCGGCATTACTCCTTAAGCATTGCAATATAACTGTAATATATCATGTTGTATTGTAATGATTGTATTGCATTGTCATATTGCCATTAAAGTAGATTATTGTTAACGGTTACTTTGTAGCTATGGATTCCTTCCTGTATTATAACCAGCTTCATAGGAACGCGCGGAGATTTGAAAAGCGGACCAGTTATCCCTCCAAATCTCCAACATAACCCATCATGCAAGGGTGGTTTTCACTATAAGTAAAGGTTTTTTTTAGGTGGACATTAGAATTTACATGTTTTTACTATGTTCCATCTGAATTTACTTTAAAATAAAAACATCTATATTGATTCTGACACTTCTACATCCAACTCACAGATGTAACCTTGCTTTGAGAAAAATAATTATTAATTTACCCCTTTTAGAAGTGAAGATATATCATTTGTTGTGTTAGTGGCATTTTCAAGCCTGAAACCTGAAAAACAGGCTCAGGGCTTAACTGGTTAAGGGTATGCTCCAGTTCCTAAAGTATATGATAAAGATGCTTTTCTTTTTAAACTTGACAAACAATAGAAAACACTCTGAAAGTAAACGTAACATATGTTGGTTAACATGTCAGAAGCATTGGTTTGCAGAGTTATGGATTTACCTTCTGTGATGCTCCATTAAGGAGGCCTCTGTCCCATAAAGCTTTGTTCCCAGTGGGGTCTTCATCCACATCATCGCTGGTGTTGGGCGGAAGGCGCACCTGAGAAAATGAAATGGGGAAAAAAGGATGCACTTATTTAGCTTGTCAGTCCTACTGGGCTACAGAAGTCTTTTTGTTACAATAAAACTAAAAGTTACAATGCAAATCATAAGCTGTATATTTCATAGTGTGTAAATGTCATTCCCGTTCAAAATAAGTCAGATATGCACAGACCCAGCGCTCCCCTTCCCCAAACTTACGATACTGATGTTCCCAAACTTGTCAGCGGCGGCCATGGTGTCGTAGTCGAGCAGACAGGCCGTGGTCACCCAGCGGGGATACGTGTCATCGGCGAAGATGATCAGCTGGTTCTCGTTGCGTCTGTAGCGGACCCAGAACAGGCTCTCCGAAACGTCCGTCACGATCACACGCTGGCCGATGGTGTGGATGCTGGTCACCAGGTTGGGAACGTGCTAAATTGGTGAGCAATAAAGCACACTCATTAAAGAATATTCAAAACACAAAAAATATACAAAGAAGGAAAATCTGTGTATCTGTACACATGATGACGGAGCTCGTTGTAAATTGGTAAGACAACCCTTTAAGACGTTACAATTATTGGGGAATATATTAATATAATATAATAAAATATATATATTTTTTAATTATTCCAAATGGACTTTTAAAATGTATAAAAACAGCAATTAAGCACTTCTATTTGTAGCTTGGATGAGGAATGCGCTATATAAATGCAGTGCATTTAGCCATGAATAGATATAATTATTAATACCATCAGTACTCGGTGTTTCTTTTTTAATCAAATTAAGTGATTAAGAAAAAAAAGTATGTTAACACAGGTAGCTCTGTGATAAAAATAAACGTATTGACATCAAGAGCTCAATGAAAACAGTGTGCACACGTTTGGGTTCTGGCCCTAATGCCCTACCTTGTTTTCACATTTGCGAAGCAGCTTCTTTTTCCCCAGGTCGTAGATTCTCAACAGTTTGCCCACTCCCACCAGGATTCGACCCTGGAATGGAGCAATAGCCAGAGGAACGTCCTCGACTGGTGTCTGCCAATCAAAACAAAGAATACATTAAGCAAATCAGATTATCAAGGCTCTGTGTAGTAGCTCTTTACTTTCTCATACTGCCTGTGCTGCAGCACCTCTTTTCACCCTCTGTCTGAAACCAGAGCCTAGTCTGCTCTGATTGGTTAGATGGCTTAAAATTACGATAATTAACTTTACAATTGTGTTGAGGTTTCAATAACGTTTCACCAAATGGCATAGTCACACGGAATAATTTCACTCTACTTCAGTGCCATCATTAAACTTAAAAACTGGTTTCTGAATAAATAAAGATAAGTAAACAAATAAATCAAAAAGGTAGTCTCCTTTAAGTATTGTTCAAATATATCGATAACAAGTCATCAGTTTGGCAATGTTGATTGTAGCAAGCAGACAAAAATATATGAAACAAGATACTGGGTCAAAGATGTGTTATCATATTGCACGTATGTGTGTGTTCCTGTCTGGTATGGTATAAATAATAAATTGCCGTCCCGGCATGCATATGCATACGAAAGTGAATCAGTCAAAAATAATATATGAATAAAATACAGTGTTTTTTTCCCAGAAATAAACCCATATAAATATCTGATCTGGTGTTTGGGAAATTCAACTGAAAGTGAAGAGAAGCAGCAGACACCACTGTGCAATTCAACACTCGGTACTCATTCCCCTTGTTAATCCACATCAGGTAACAAATGGCTGTGGGCCAATTCACCCGGATGGCCTCCACCCTTCTTGAGTTTCTGGGGAATTGCCTTGAGAGAAGTGAGTGGCGTCATGGCGGTAACATCTGTGTTTAATACTTTACTCAAGGCCATCCTTCCTGTTGCACTTTGACCAAGCCCTCGTCTGAGCATCTCAAACCGTGACCTTCTAACTCACATTTCAATAATAATAATAATAATAATAATAATAATAATAATAATAATAGCTATTAATACCCTCTGCTCAAAAGAAAATGGTTTTAACTAGGGATGCTCCGATCGCCAATTTTGTGGCCGATCTCCGAAATCAGTATCGGCCGATACCGATCGAGTGGGCCAATGGGGATCTTCCATTTAAAGTGATGTTTAAATCTCAGTTAATGCGGCTCATTCACTGACGCTTCCACAAACAACAACCAACATAATTATTACATTCAAATTAAGTACATTATTCAAGTTTACATTAACTTTGGATAATAACACGGGAGAATTGAGCGGAAGCACTCTCTTTTCCTCTCTCCCCCTCTCTCTCTCTCTCTCTCTCTCCTGACAGCCTGTCAGTATCGTCTCATGCAGCTCACTGATCCAGTAATGAGTGACCCGACAGTGAAGAATACATATATTTATAACTAGTTTAGCTAGTTCCAGAGGTAGATAAAATAGCTAAGTGGGTTAGGTCTAACTCTTGTGTGTGTGTGTGTTTTGCTCCGCTCACCGGTCCGTCAGAGCGGGTGGAGCTGCAGGATTTCTGCTTCACACACGTTGCATACCGCTATTTCATTGTCGGGTACCTTAAAATACTGCCAGACCGGTGAAGCCATTTTGGCGAGCTTGTTTTGCCGCTCAGAGAAAAGTGTCATGTATTTTACGTCATGTGATCGGCTCTCCTGATCAGCCTTTATAGAGAGCACCGATCGATCGGAGCATCCCTAGTTTTAACGGTGCGTGACAACCCACTTCTTCCCATGTCAGTGCTGCAGACCAAAACACTTTCAGCTCTCAGTACTTTTGTGAGGTTTAATGCCCACTCAGATGTATAAAGAGTTACTGCTGATGAACCTAGCATTCTCAGATTTATTTCTTCACAATAAACTTACTGAGCAGTAGAGTAATTAATTCAAACCAAAAAGACAAAAGCTAAAGAAGTTTTGCTGTTGGCCACTTAAATAGAATTTCATTTAAGCTCAGCCAACTCACTTTGTGCACAAACTCCAGTTTCTCCCCTCCGCTGATGAGCCGATAGGTGTAGATGAATCCGCCGCTCACTGATCTGGGGTTGAGGATCATGTCTCTGGCAACGCCCACCAGGACATACCAATCATCTCCTGTGTTGGGGAAGCGACACACTGCAACACTAGAACATATAAAACACAGGGAAAGAGGAGGTGTGAAATAAAGAATTGAACACAATGGAGAAGTAAGAACAATAAAAGATGATCATGCTTCCTGTTGATTCCACACGCTAATAAGTAAAACATGCACATTTATGTAGCTGGAAGCTGACTCCTTTTGTGTTTACGATGTTCATACCATGTAGAGTAACTATTAACTGAACTTGTCAACATAGTTAAGACTAAGTGCTTTAAAAGCTTTAAAAAAGTGCAAATATTTAAATTGAATCAAACTGATAACATTTTTTAAAAAGATGGCAAAGTCTGCAATTGAATAAAACATTATTTCTGTAGCAAACATGTTTACTGTGGTCAGTGCGGAAAGGAGAGTGATAATTAACAGCCTCTTTCCTCAAAATAAGGACAAACCAACTCTGTCTTTTGAATTATGCAATCAGTCACCAGATAAAAATGAGATGTTACATTTCAAAAGACTGTCTGGTCCTTTTTGGCAACCCATAAAATGAAGAGACTGTTTGATTAAGACAGTTAGGAAGCACTCTGATGAAGTGTTATTAGATGCTTATGGAGCCTGACTCTCAATCAATGTGAAAGGCGTAATAAACAAGAGACAGTTCAGACTGTAGGCTTCACTAACTTACCCCCACCACACCCATACACCATTTAGGATTCAAAGCTATGATACAAAGTCATGCAAAACCTTATTTTTTCAGCCTTATGTTGGAAAGACTGTGGTTGATGTGAAACGCTGCTGTCAGGCTTTTAACTTGTTCCCATGGTTGCTGCCCTTCAGTGGTGACCTACGACTTTTAGGGTTCATTATATGTTTTTAAAGCCTACATCCGTGACCTACCAACTCGGATTGCTGCTGGAGAACCTCCAGCGAAGCCCTACTAATCATTCCAAAATCTGCGTCAGTCATTAAAAGCTAACCAGGCTTTTTTCAGCTGTGGAGATCCCTGCCCTGAAGATCTCCGGCAGACACACTCGGTGACCTCTTTTAAATATTTTCGCGAAACTTTTTTTATTTGGCTTTAGGCGTTTTCACACCAAGTACTTTTCCCAGGAATAGTTCCCGGAATTTTTCCCCGGAACTATCTAGTTAATCGCGTTCACACCGGAATAAGTCCCTGAAGGAGGATTACGCCAATGAAGCCGCTGACGTCACTTCTTCTTCTGCTTTGGGTTTACTAGCAGACCACAAACAACTTCACGGCGTATATTGCCACCCGAAGTCTCATCACTCCACCGATCCCATGTTTTCTTTTGTGTTGCCAAAAGTTAGTCTCTCTCCGTTGGTGCGCTGGGCTAATGGGCTAATGCTAATAATGCGAGGAAATAAAATGGCTTTGTTTTACGGGGCATGGTTTGCAATTTGCCCAGCCAATCAGAAATTGGAACCTTTTTCTACCCAGGAAGGTCCCTGCTCTCTAGCAGGGACTAAAAAGGGGTGAAAAGGTTCCCGAAAAAAAAGATCTTTTTGGTGTGAACGCAACATCCCAGGAACTATTGGCACTATTTCTGGGGAAAGTACGGGAAAAGTACTCCGGTGTGAAAGCGCCTTTTGATTAACAGAGTGTGCGAATTGAAGCTGTTTAATTATATATTTAAGTTGATATGTTTTATTATCTTGTACGTTCAGCTTCGTTATTGTTTTAATAGTAAAGCACTTTTTGGAGAAGTGCTATATAAATGAACGGTTTTTATGATTACAGCACAGCCTTGTTGTTCCGAATGTAGCATTTTGAGGGAAATAAATAGGTTGTGATAGATGCACATTTTCAATCGTGGCAAGGACAACAGGAACCTACAAGTCTCAAGCCCCGATGATACCTACCATACTGGAAATGTAACTACGATAAGACAAGTAATGTAACAAAATGGAGCCATTCACCTGAACGCAGCTTCGTTCTGTTCCAGCTGCACCAGGTCCAGTGTTGTTCCCTGTATGGGGTTGATGAGCCGCACCAGTGAGGCCCACTGTCCTGCTCCGGCTTTAGGTGCACCAAAAATAGCTTCTGGGAGGTTCTCGTTGAGGAACGCAGCAGCCATCTCAGCGGCTAGTTCTCTCTCATCTTCTCCAGCAGCCTCCACCATCTCCTGCAGACACAACAGTGCCAAAGAACACAGACGGTCAGCTGAGTGGAAACCACTGTGTTCTGACCAAGTACAGCCAGTTATTTCCCACTGAAACCACCAGATTCCCACCATTTTGTATGAAAGAATAAGCAGCTACATGTTTGTGTCCTCTGATCCGTCAATTAATCCGCAACTATTTTTATAATCGGTAAAAGTAATTGACTATGCATAAGGACAAACATTTGCCTGTTTCAGCTTTTCAAGTGCAAGAGTTCTGCTGTTTAAAGAGCTGTGTGTGTGCGAAGCTATGAAGAGAGCAGTTGGTAGAAGTACACTGTGCGTTTAGTAAATGTGTCGGTAAACAAACTCCTTAACACCAAAGCCAAGTTCCTGTATCTCGCTTGAAAACTGATAATTTAGATTGAGGGTGTTAGCCCCGAAGCTAACAACAGCTCAGAGCTTCTTCGTTTCAGAATACATGTGGGCTCAGTTGGTTTAGAGTCAATAAAACTGTTCCAGAAATCAGATTTTTCTTTTCATTTCAAATGATTAAAACACCCAAAACTAAAATGTAACACACAGGTCAGTGCTTCTTCCCTGATTCTGTACACAAAAAAGAGAATAATGGTTCCAAGGTCAAACCTGAGTGCTGAACTCGACCTTTGATCTATCTTCTTAAACAGAAGATTCAGGTCTAGGTTTAACTTAAAAAATACCAAAAAGGTGGTCTTAAAACTCAGTCTAGGAGGTCTCAGCAGTCCAAATGGTCTAGCTTACAGTGTACATCAAAGGTCTGCTGGAGACAGTAAACAATGTATCATTATTGTATGAGCCAGGTCGAAGATTATGGAGTATGTATGTGTGTGCATCTGGCCAGAGACAATATAGGTTCCGGTTCGGAACCGGTTCCAACATTTCGATTCCAACGGCATCATTTAGACATGTGAATTTCGGTTCCGCTTTTCGATGCCTGAGGAAATGTTTCTCGCCGCTCTCCGTAGCCTACTGTATGACTGCGGCGGGGCGGGAAATGTAGCGTTGTACCTACACTTCCTACAGCGTAACCTGAGACAAGGGCCGGCCCGTCGCATTGGCGTTATAGATGTTCGCCTAGGGCGCCAGATCTGTGGAGGCGCTGCGCTGACAGCTCTGGGAGAAAAAATAAATGTTTTGACCGTTGGTGCTCATCCTAATTTTCGGCCTTGATGTAACAACATTCATAATTAAGTAAATGTAACACCCTTTTCATCCCGGTTACACTTTTCATTTGCCCTGTACGATGGGCGCTGTAAGTGATGAAAATGGGGGATGTTGGCTTATCTGGCACCCGCAGCTCACAGCCAAAGTGCGAGTGAGCATGGGAGCGAGCGAGGGAGAGTGCACCGGTAGCAGCGCAGTTGTTATTAGCATCTGGTGCTAGCTGCTCTAACGGAAGAAGAAGATGTTTCTACAATAATGTGGAGGGAGAGTCATCTCCAGTCAGACTGAGAGGCTGATAACTACAGCTCAGTGAGGTAAAGGACTCTTGAGTGTTTAGATAGTTCACTTTAGTCTAAGTTATCTCAGTGGGTCTCAAACGTTTTGATCACAATTTATGTAAACACATATTTCCAAGGTAGCCTACTCCTTTATAATTATTGGGATAAAAAGGTTTGAAATCATTCCAATGTATACTATAGGACAGTAAACCAGACATATCGTTTTAAACTGGAGATAAAAAAATATACATAAATAAAATAGTAAAATAAGATAAGAATGAACAACAAAAATAAAATACGTTACATGTATTTGTTATTGGCTATGGGTTATTGGTTATGTTCACATACTTATTTAATTACTAAAATGTAAACCGATCTTTTTCATATGGGTGTTTAGAGTTGTACCCCCTAGATCTAGTCTCTAGTAATTCTGCTTAAAGTGCACCAGATTGAAGCATTTTACTTTGAAATGTTCAAACATTTCTTCCCGGTATGCCTGAGAAGGCAGATATGCTGCTTTTTCTCAACAAGAACTGTTTTTAAATGGGGGGGGGGGGGGTTTCCTTTAAAAGTTGGACTGTTGCACTGTTGTAGCTTCAGTGGTTCTCAGGTTAGTTACATAGCAGTGAATATAAACAGACTGATTAATGTGAATATTACTCTAAACTAACCTGTGTAAAAGTTTCTCGAATAAATGTAATTTTTTTTGGTGGAAGAAGCATGTATCATTTTTTTACCCTGCCCCACAAATAATCGGAATTGAGAACCGTTAAGAACCGGAATCGAAAATTAGAATCGGAATCAGAATCGTGGAAATTCAAACGATACCCAACCCTACTCATTGCTCTTCAGTTTGGAATGTAGTTTACACTTGGGATTAGGAAGTGTTCTTTTACAGACTCACACCAAGGTAAATAATAGGGTTTGTTTTCATTTGATTAAACATTTCAGCGGTGGGTGTTTACAAACTCAGCTCGGCACAACTACTGAGATCTTTCCCGGGATGTCTCTGGAAGGACAGGGACTTGTTGTTTGTATGTATGAGTAGGCTTTCTAGGTGACAAACTGAACTGAGTGCTGTTCCTATTTCTGGGAGAGTTACTTGATATCAGCTGGTGGGCAGCAGAGTTTTGACACATTGAGCAACTGTATGTGACGACTCAACAAGTTTAGGGTAAATAACTGTAATGAAGAACTTCTGCTGAGTACAGTTTCGACTTGTTTTTTTTATTCGACTTACTTTACATCGTTGAGGACAGTAATATCATACATATACTTTTTCTCTGTAGCAGGGGTAGATATTAAGAGTACAATTCCACTGGCCCACCATTGTAACCACTGGCCCAAGAGCATTCGTCCAAAAAAAACGACTAATAGTGAAGAAAATTAACACATTTGTTGCAATAGTAATTTATGCACAAACTACAACATTTGAATCATCAGTTCTTCCTAATTTTCCTCAATTGTTCATATTTGGTTTATTAAAATAATTATATTGTGGTCATTGTTAAAAAAAAGTCTGCCATTATCATTATTATGAGTATTATTATTTGCATAATGCACTTTCTGCCTTCCTGTCATTAGGAGTTAGAAATGTAATGGCTATGCAATAGATTAGAACCGTCATTATCCTAAACTGCTGGGACATTTCCCTATAGAGAATACCTTTATATTTTCTACTGTTCACTTACTTGTCAGCATAGGTCGGCATTGATGTACAGAGCCGACAAAAGACTGTTTATATTGGCATCATATCAAAGCCAACTCCATCGATCAAGCCAGTGTAGCTGAAACTTTCTCTCCACGGGAGCCTGCTCGCGCTGCGCTCTACTCCGCACCAAACAGCGGTTTGCTTTTCACCCAACAACGACAACCGCCTCACGAAACGCTATGTTGTAGCATTAATAAACGAAACAATTTAATAAAATTGCTTGTCAAAATACCAATACCACAGGACAAATAAAACATTTTATAGCAATATTTTTAATGGCCCGAGCGAGCAAGTGGAAAGTATGTTATGCTGGCCCGGGGTGTCTAAATAGTGCTTCCGGGCCAGCGGGCCATTTATAATGTCGAGCCCTGTGTAATACAGGACACTGCCGAGTTCCTGGTATTTCGGTAATAAAAGCGTTTTGTAGCTGTTTTTTTTTATATTTACTAAGTGCTTAACATAAACAAAATGTCAAACTATAAAAAAAACAGCAGTTAATCGGGGCTGGCTCTGTTAACTTGTTAAGCCCCAAGCCTGTTTTTCAGGCCTCAGGAAAAAATGCCCAGAACAAATTACTATCTTCACTTCTAAAAGGGGTAAATTAATATTCTTTTTTCTCAAAGCAATGATAAACCTGTGAGTTGGATGTAGAAAAGTCAGAATCAATATAGATGTTTTTATTTTAAAGTAAATTCAGATTGAACATAGTAAAAACATTTTTTAAATAGTTTCCGTCCAAAAAAAATATTACTTATAGTGAAAACCACCCTTGAATGATGGGATCGGAGACTAAAAGCTTTAGGAATTCAAACTGTAACCTATAATAAGTACCCTGTATCAAGATTGATGCAAAACAGAGAAATCTGACCTTTTTAGAGAGGTTTAGAAAGAAAAAAACACTTCTGGGTCTATTTGCCATATCTCTGGAACCCATTGGTCGATTTTGATGATTGACACTTTTGAACCGTTAGAGCCAATAGAATCGAGGGGGGGTTCTTAAATCCATCTAAACATTTCCATTGAGGATTGAGAGTGATGCGCACGCAGTTTGCCCAAAACCGTTACACTATAATGAAAAATAGGTATATTGCCATAAATGTTATGACGGATTATCAGTAATCATTTCAAAGTGACACAGAGACATTGGATTAACCTTCAGCAGCGTTTATATGCGTTGTAAGGCCATTGAACACAACTTTTGATCAGAAAACAGCAAAGGTAAGACATATTTGCCGTTTTGGCCCCGTAAAGTGAAGTTGTGTGTTGTCTTTGCTGGCTTTCGCTGCCATGAGTTCTGGTCGCACAGTGATGATACTTATACCATTGGAATCTGTGGAATCTCAGCTTTCATATGATATCTCAGGGTATATGCAGGAATCCTGAAGTCAAATTTAATACCTTTTAAGACCTGTTTTTAAGACCCTTTCCATACATTTTAAGACCTCATCACCACTTTTGAGTTTTAACCGGTTACATTGGCGACACACTTTACCTCACATTGACTATATACAGTATTGATTGTCCTTCCTCCTTATCTTCCAACCATTTGGACGCAGACTTGCATTTCCACATAACGATGTTTAATAACCGGTGTAAACGGACCTTCGCGCGCTATCAAGCAGTGAGCGTGCGATGTCCTGTTCAGATTACGTTACATCCAACGGGATTCCATAAATAAAACTACACAGAATCACACGACACACCTACGCCATGATTACATTCAGGCAGACTGTAGGATACAACCTCTTTGGACAATTTATAAACGTATTGAAAACAAGCTACAAAATGTAATACCTTGGAAAATGCCGTTTAATACTTTTTAGTAGCCTTAATTTTCTCTAAATTGATTTATCAACTTTTAATACTTTTTAAGACCACGCGGACACCCTGTATCGAGTTTATGCAGATAGCATGAAGTATCAAATATCGCTACCGTGAGTTATGTGCTTAAGTGCGTTAGCACTCTTTCGCTTAGTGCTAATTTAGAGGCTTGGCGTTACCCATGTGTTTCGTTTAGCTAAATATGGTTCATATCATCAATTAGCTGAGTTTCTTCCCGTTAAGTGGGTATGACACATTAATAGGTTGTTAAATGTTAAGAAGCCCCAAGACACAGTTTTGTGAATGCCAGCGGGGGCAATCGGGCTTAACAGGTTAATCCTATGATTAACATTGCAAATCTTACCTCAGCCATTTGTTGCTTCCTCTGGGCTTTGGTTGCCTCGGTGTAGGCATTGTGGTCGGTCTCGATCAAAATGAGGTTGTTGGTCTCCGGGTGGATTACAAACTTCCTCGGAGTGTACTGCAGAGGAAAGGCCACCTGGTTGAAGACTGCTCCCAATTTCTCCAAAGCCAAGATTCTGCAAGACAGATGAAGAGAAGGGAGAGACTGTTACAGATCCTTTTTAACTTCAAGGGTACAGCCGAGCTACGAAATTAGAACCATGCTTCTCCACTAATCCGTCCCACCCAACATTTATTTCACAGGGCAACAAATTATTCTGTTAACTGTCAAACCACATCATAACACTAGGTAGAGGAGTAGTACATTACATTTCATTTAGTCGACACTTTTGTCCAAAGTGACTTCCAATAAGTACATAAACAGTGCAGTAGAGTCATTGCATTCCTGATTTTTTACTGAGCAAAGGCTAGAGCGCAGCGTTTCCGCCAGACGGGCGTCTTGCCGTCATTTGAATCCCTTATTCAGCTCGGAACACCCTGAACTCGAGCCGAGGGCGTCTAAAAAAAAAAATGACAAGGACATCCCTCTGTTGGAGGGGCAAAGGAGTCTGGTGGGATTATTTTCACCGCCAGCAAAGCGTGTTCCTGTGACGGAACAAAAAAAAACACGCCACATTTTCCAAGGACCATGCCAGGAGGGGTGTCGTAAAGAGATAGTATATATAAGGGACGGCGCAATTCAAAAGTGTGTGTGTGTGCATACGTAAAGAGATAGTATCTATAAAGGGACGGCTCAATTCAAATTTCAAGACGTGATGTCACACACCACCACCACCACCCCCCCCCCCCGCTCTCGGGGTGGACGCCCTCTCAGCCCTGGTCTGGCGGAAACACTGCTCGAGAGATTGCTCGAGAGATTGCTCTTAAGATGCGCTTTAAGATCACATATTCGTAGTTTGAGGTGCAATATATGACTCAGCAGCTTTAAGACATGAAGGAACTATTATTTTCCGCTTTGCTCTAATGCATTATTTTTGCTGGAAAGTGGACGGTACTTGACGGTAGTGAAAGTACTTTTCTTAGGAATAGTTCCTGGGATTTTGTGTTCACACCAAAAAGATCTGGAACTAGAACTTTTTTTTGCGAACCTTTTCACCCCTTTTTAGTCCCTGCTAGAGAGCAGGTACTTTCCTGGGGAGAAAAAGGTTCCAATTTCTGATTGGCTGGGCGAAGAAAACGGGCCACGCACACTTAAAGCGAGCTCCGCGCTGTAGTGGAAATGCGCCATAAGTTCCGGGAACTATTCCTGGAAAAAGTACTTGGTGTGAAAGCGCCTATTTTTAAGTGACGTTAGCGCCCTCATACTATATTTTTCTAGAAAAACCCCTGGCAGCCCATGCTGAACAACTTGGGGGCCCACATTGCAACTCTTTATTTAAGATGCAGTACAACGTGAATTTCTGAAAATATTAAATTCACTAAGCTTTTGTTAACCTTTATTTTCCTATTTTAGTGGACTGACGGCTTTGGGCCTTGTAACGCACTTTATTAGCGTGATTGCACAGTACCGTTGGGCATGGCATATTTGCACATTTGATGTAATTTATACTAATTATTGAGATAGTATTTATTAAAGGATTAAACCGTATTGATTGAAATGTCGTCTGGCTGGTCGGGTCCTCGGCTCCGCCTAACAAGATAGGGGAGTTAGCGAGAGCGCCAAAAGTGCTTAAATGCTGGGGTAGAATGACAGCGGTTAAGAATAATCCGGGTGCAAATAATATGTGGGGGTGTAGACATCATAGCGTTAAGTGGCAGTAATTGTACAAGTGCTGACTGCGTTTAGTTGGGTTTGTATGTGTGTACTTCTGTTCAGTTATACGTTTGTGTTTGAAAAGTGTTCCCCCTCCCGTTATGTCTGTTGCTGGATTGTGTGCACCTGGTGCCCTGTGTTGTCTCCTCTCCCCTCACCTGTGTCTAATTGCTGATTAGTGTGTGTGGGTATTTAGGCTCTGTTTGCCTGTCTGTTAGGGCCAGGGAGTGTGTGTGAGATCCTGGTGGCTGCAGGCTGGGCTCACGTGAATAACAGCAGCAGCAGCAGCAGGATTGAGGCTGTGTGTGTAATGTGTTCATGTTTTAATAAATGCCCACACCGGGTTGTATTTTTGGACGTTCTGCCTCTGCCTCCTTGCTTGGTCGGGCCGCTCAATTGTCAGCTTCACACCGACAAACATTTATCAAAGGATGAGAACCATAATTAAAATGTAACCCTAACAATCACACAAACATAATTTCTTAAAGACGTATAATGTATATTTTTCTGCATGTCATTTTTCTTGAACTTACCAAACATCTAAGAGACCTTTTAAATAAGTATGACAAATAGGGCTGCCTATTCAAACAGGTCTACCTGCAGTGTATATCCATACCTCAGTGTGTTGGTGGAAATGGCGACGATGCCTTCAGGGCATTGCTCAGAGGCAAAGCCAGAGGCGTACTCCAGAGTCTCGTATGACAGCGGGGTCAGATGGAAGCGCGACTGGTACGAGTAGCTCAGCCAGGACCGACTGGACATGGCCAGAACCTGTAAGCGAGAGGAGACGATTTCCAATGATTCACATGAATTGAAAACAGATTTACCAATTCTTAAGGGGTAAAAATGCACACCGATTTATGTATTTTATTATGTTGGAGCTATATCATCTTTTGTGTGTGTGTGATGATTGTATGTTAGTATCACATACAGCTTCCTGCCCCTGCATCCTGACTCTGAAGAGCTTGACGGGTCGGGACCCCAGGTAGCGTGTTCTGGTGTCTGACAGGTCGCCCGTCACTGGATCCAGAACAGTCCTCAGCAGCACGCCGTTCTGAGAGAAGGGATCAAACAGACACAAAGATTACTAGATGACATTAGAGCAGATCTCAGATTGTGGGTCATGTTTGAGCAGAGCTTCTGATTGATGTCATGGGTTGTTGTAGCTATTTTTAGAACAACCATAGAGGATAGGGTTACATATCCCTATCCTATACATTAATAAAGAATGCAAAACAGTTTTTTCTCATGAATCTATCACTAAGTAAAAGATCAGTCGGAGCTCACATTAAGTAGACCCTCCAGAAAAACACGGACAAAAACCCTTGATTATGCGATCAAACATGCGGGGTTTTATATGCTTTTATGCGGTGAAATTGCGAAATATGCGGAAAGTTGCTAAATATTTTTTCTTAAATATTGGGCTGTCTTATTTATTCTCTCTCACACACAACCTGCCACTAACGTTAAACCCTGTGAAGCTGACAATTGAGCTGCCCGACCAAGCAAGGAGGCAGAGGCAGAACATCCAAAAATACAACCCGGTGTGGGCATTTATTAAAACATGAACACATTACACACACAGCCTCAATCCTGCTGCTGCTGCTGTTCACGTGAGCCCAGCCTGCAGCCACCAGGATCTCACCCACAGTCCCTGCCTCCTCAACAGACAGGGAAACAGAGCCTAAATACACACACTCTAATCAGCACAACAAGACACAGGTGAGGGGGGAGGAGACAACACAGGGCACCAGGTGCACACAATCAGCAACAGACATAACGGGAGGGGGAACACTTTTCAAACACAAACTTATAACTGAACAGAAGTACACACATACAAACCCAACTAAACGCAGTCAGCACTTGAACAATTACTGCTACTTAACGCTATGATGTCTACACCCCCACATATTATTTGGCCTTACGGTAGTCTAGGTTGCCCTCTTGAGACTGTGAAACGCATGCGCAGTTAGTCTGTGTCGACCTGGAGCATGAGGTCCACTGTTCGTTAATGGCTCTGTATTGGTGTTATGCACGTTGATTGAATAAACCAAGTTAACAGAAGATAAACGTCGTGTTTATTTGTAGTAGACTAACATTGGTAGCAGAGGATGGTTAGCAGAAGATGGCTACTGCTAACTACAAAGTTCCACCGAAGTTCGACGAATCCCGACCATACGAGTGTTGGAAAAATGAAATCGCCATTTGGAAGCTGGTTACTGAACTTGATAAGAAGAAACAAGCCCTCGCCGTTGTCCTGGGGCTGGAAGGAAGGGCAAGGGACATCGCCATGGAAATACCCGCTTTGGATTTGAACAACAACAATGGTATGGACACACTGCTAGCAAAACTAGATGGCATGTTTCTCAAAGAAGAGAGAGACCGCGCATACAATGCTTACTCTTTTTTTGACTGTATCAAAAAGGAGAGCTCAGTGTCCATGGCGGACTATGTGATTGACTTTGAACAGCGATACAACCGAATGAAAAAGTACGACATGACTCTTCCTGACGCCGTGCTAGCTTTTAAACTTTTGGACACGGCTTGTCTAGACGAGAAAAATAGACACATGGCGCTGACTGCGTGTACAGATTTAACGTTTGCTGCAATGAAGTCCGCGCTGAAGAGGATCTTTGGGGGGAGAGTGCAAGGCGGCACATCAAACGGAATACACGTTAACGATGAAGCGTTAGTCACAGAGCAACGCTCACAAGGAAGATTCAGACGTCCAACAACGCAGCAGTTTGGACAAGTTGGACAACAAAGGCAACCGTCACAGGGTACCAACCCACTGGATAGGTTTGGTAAGAGATCAAAATGTGCTATATGTCAGAGCACGTTCCATTGGGCTAAAGACTGTCCTCACAAGAGTAGCGAACAAGTAAAGCTAACTGAAGATCGAACAAAGGTAGAGGAATGTGACATTACACTGTTTACTAAAGCCTCACTGTCTGAATCAGAGGTATTCCTAACTGAGTCTTTAGGGACGGCTATCATTGACACTGCATGTACCCGCACAGTGTGTGGAGAAAAATGGTTGGACAGCTTTGTCGCTGATCTCAGTCAATGTCAAGTGAACCAGATTGTGAAAAGTGAAACTCCAAGCTCCAGACCATTCTGTTTTGGAGATGGAAATATAGTGCATTCCTCCAGAATACTGAAACTGCCTGCCAAAATAGGACAGACAAAATGTCGAGTGGAAACTGAAGTAGTCAAAGCTGATATCCCACTACTTCTGAGTAAGACTTCACTGAAAAGGGCAGGAACCATCTTGGACATGGAGAATGATAGAGCTGTGATGTTTAAACAGAATATCCCTCTTGAACTCACCAGTTCAGGACACTACTGTATAGATCTCAGAGACAAGGACACAGGAATGAATCAAATTGAAATTAAAGATGTGGTCCTTACAGTCACAGAAAACAGCCAGAATGAAGATGAGCTCCTTACAGTCACAGACAATATGACCTCAAATGAGAAACACAAAGCTCTCCTGAAACTACCCAAACAGTTTGGTCACGCTTCCGCAGAAAGACTACAGCGACTCCTCCGCAGTTCGGGAAATAAAGACAAAGATTGTGACACTATTTTACAACAAATAGTACAGGAATGTGACATATGCCAGAGATACAGCAAGACCAAGCCGAAGCCTGCTGTGGGCTTGCCTCTGGCTTCAGAGTACAATGAAACGGTGGCAGCGGACCTGCACGAGTCGGAACCAAGTTTATGGTACCTCCACATCATTGACCAATTTACACGTTTCAGCGCTGGAAGCATTGTGAAAACAAAGAACTCCTCCTGTGATGGTGAACTCTTTCCTTCATACATGGATCAGCGTCCACAGCCCACCACGGAGACTTTTCAGTGACAATGGAGGAGAATTCAACAATGCAGAGTTCCGTGACATGGCAGAGAACTTTAACATTGAGACAAAAACCACGGCAGGATACAGCCCCTGGAGCAATGGGCTACTGGAGAGACACAATCAGACCCTCACCGACATCATCCAGAAGGTCAGACGGGAAAATGGATGTGACTGGCAAACAGCCCTAGACTGGGCTCTCATGGCAAAGAACAGTATGCTCAATGTGCACGGCTACAGTCCTCATCAACTGGTGTTTGGCCAGAACCCCAACCTTCCTTCTGTACTGGTTGATAAACCACCTGCGCTAGAAGGTACCACTATGAGTGCTAGAGTAGGAGAGCACATTTCAGCCTTGCATGCCTCTAGAAAAGCATTTACTGAAGCAGAGTGCTCAGAAAGGATAAGACGAGTACTACGTAAGCAGCTCAGACCCACAGATGAGAAATATGAGATGGGTGACGAGGTGTATTACAAACGAGCTGAATGCACTGAGTGGAAAGGACCAGGGATAGTTATTGGTCAGGATGGGGCTGTTGTTTTTGTGAGGCATGGTGGTTGCCTAGTGAGAGTGCATCACTCTAGGCTTTCCAAGGTGAACACAAAGGTTAATGAAGAGCAAATGGTACAAAATGATGCTGACACAGAAGCAGGAAGTGAGCAAGGTATAAACAATGCAACTGGTAGTTTAGACAGTGAGCAAAATACAGAGAATGAACAACAATTCGGTGACAGGGAAGCCAATACAAGTGAAGCTTTGAGAAGCGTAACACAAACTGAAATGGCGCATAGGCCTAATGCCCATAATAATCCTGCTCCTTCTGCAGGTGTGAGTTTAAAAACAGGACAGACTGTAACATATATGAACAGAGGTGACAATACTCTACTTAAAGCAAGAGTCTTAGGGAGATCAGGCAAGGCTACGGGGAAATATAAAACCTGGTATAACATGCAACATCTAGAGAATGATGGTAGTGATGGGCAAAATGAATCAATTGATATCTCACAGGTTGATAATCTCAACATTGAAACAGAAGACAGAGAAGCTGATGTACTTGTAACCAAAGACATCTCATTTGATGCAGCTAAACAGGAAGAAATAAAGAACTGGCACAATAATAATGTATTTGAGGAAGTTGAAGATGCAGGGCAGAAATGCATTTCCACCAGATGGGTTTGTAGTCTTAAGGACACTCCCAAGGGTATAGTGCCTAAAGCCCGACTGGTTGCCAGAGGTTTTGAAGAGCTGAATATTCAAGAGTTACCGAAAGATTCCCCCACATGTGCCACAGATTCACTTAGACTTATGTTATCAGTGATATGTCAAAACCAGTGGGAAGTCCATTCTATGGACATCAAATCTGCATTCTTAAAGGGTATGGAGCTATCCAGGGATATTTATATCCGCCCCCCTCTAGAGGCAGGATGTCAACATGTTGTATGGAATATAAAGAAATGTGTATATGGTCTTGCAGATGCATCACTATATTGGTACAACAAAGTGAAGGAAATCATGCTGAGTACTGGTGGTAGAGTGTCACAGGTGGATCCGGCAGTCTTTTACTGGTTGGATGAGCAATGTAAGGTCACTGGGGTTCTTGCGTGTCATGTAGATGATTTTCTTTGGGCAGGCTCATCAAACTTTTCATCCAATGTGATCCCCCAACTGCAGTCTGCATTCAAGGTTGGGCGTGAGGAGCATGAAAAGTTCTCCTATGTAGGAATGGATTTGGTAACTGTTAACGGTGAAGTTCAGGTACATCAACAAAGTTATATCGAGAACCTGGAGCCTATTCCCATACAAGCAAGTTGGGCCACACAGAGAAATAAACCCCTCAACGAAACTGAGAGAGAGCAGTTAAGATCAAAAATAGGACAGATCCTATGGGTTGCTAAACAGACAAGACCTGATGTAATGTTTGATTCATGTTGTTTGGCTTCTAATATAAAAGGGGCAACAGTACAGTCTGTTCATGATGCTAATAAGATAATCCGTAAGCTAAAGTCTGAAAAGGTGACACTCAGATTTCAACATCTGGGAAACAGTGATGCTTTGAACTTGATAGTTTTCAGTGATGCTTCATTTGGAAACCTCCCAGACGGAGGTACACAGGGAGGTACTTTTATAACACTTATGGGAGAAAGAGGGACGTTTTCCCCCCTCTGTTGGCATTCAAAGAAAATCAGACGAGTGGTTCGCAGTAACCTTGCAGGAGAAACTCTTGCCATGTCAGATGGGGTAGACAATGCAATTTTTCTAGCCACACTATTTTCTGAGCTCACTACTGGAAATGCTGGACTGAATGCACCCCCTGTACTCTGTGTGACTGATAACCACTCTCTGTTCGATGCGCTCAAGTCCACAAAACAAGTCACAGAGAAGAGACTCAGGTTGGAAATCAGTAGCATTAAGGAGCTCATACAGAACAAGAGGATCAAGCACGTGCGTTGGTCAGACACAAAATCTCAGCTCGCTGACTGTCTCACAAAAAAAAGGAGCTTCGGCTCTTGTGTTCTTAAGGCCCTGACACACCAGGCCGATTTCGGCTGTTTTCGTAAGTCGGGAGACGAAGCGTGTCCTGTCGCCCAAACTCAATTTGGTGTGTCCCGCACCGTCGACCGTGACACGCCTTATTTGGACTGCCTGTCCCGATGCATGGCCGATTCAACATGTTGAATCGGCCATGCATCGGGTCTGGCAGTCGGACCAAACAATCACTCTGATTGGCTGTTCAGCTAGCGAATCAGTGCATGAGAAGCGAAACGGAAGTGAGGGACGTAAACAAACGATTTAAGAAGGCACACACAGACTGATATTCATTTTCATCTCATCATGGCGATCTGGAATGACGCAAACGAAGACCTGCTCATCACATTGATCCAGGAGAGGCCAGCTCTGTACGACATCACAGAGAAAAGGTACTCGAACCGAGTAGTGAAAACCGGACTCTGGCGAGAGATTGAAACGCAACTTGGTTTCTCGGGTAAGATTATCTTTTTCATCAATTGAGCTCTTTAGCAGATATTGTTGGCTTTTTATTGTTTGCCAGCGTACAGTGACGTTAACGTGAAATGTCATTTGTTATTTCAACCTTGTGTTTTGTTGTTATCTTGTTGCTAGCTGTGCAGTTTGGCACTGCATATAGATATGAATTGGACATGCTAACTAGCCACAATGCTTACATCGTTTATTTGTGTGCTTCAGAGAAAGAGCTGAGGAAGAAGTTGGATTCTCTGCAAACCCAGTACACCCGGTAGAGGAGACTTGCCCCTTCGGGTAGTTGTGGAGCACCAAAGGCGGGCAGACAGCAGTGGATCATAACCAGGCTGCAGTTTGCACACGCTATTTGTTGTTGTTTATATCACGCAGTCTGTTCTTCTTCTCTGTCTTCCGGTTGTTGCCTATTTTTAATGACGAATACACACTACCGCCGCCTGCTGGTAAGGAGAGTTATTGCCACTCACGCACTGAAGTCTTTGCGGTGTGTTCCCGTGCGACACATGGCCAAGACGCAGGAGAACACCGCGACGCAACAGCCGACGTCGGCGAGTCCTCTGGTGACTGCTTGGTGTGTCAGGGCCTTAAAAGCACTCAGTGAAGGACAATGGGATCTGGGTTAAAGTGTCTGTTGAAATGGAACATTGAAAACACCTTTGTTTATGTATTTGTTTCTTAAATGTTTCCCTAATTTATGTTGACTACTCAGGGAATTTAAACATTTTTGTTTTAAGTCACTGTATGATTGTTTTATGATTCATGCAATGTAAAGTTGTTTTTGTTTTGTTTATTTCTTTAAAAATATAGAATGAGATTGTTAACATGTAATCTCTTTGCGCCTATACTACTGGCCTTACGGTAGTCTAGGTTGCCCTCTTGAGACTGTGAAACGCATGCGCAGTTAGTCTGTGTCGACCTGGAGCATGAGGTCCACTGTTCGTTAATGGCTCTGTATTGGTGTTATGCACGTTGATTGAATAAACCAAGTTAACAGAAGATAAACGTCGTGTTTATTTGTAGTAGACTAACAATGTGCACCCGGATTATTCTTAACCGCTGTCATTCTACCCCGGCATAAGCACTTTCGGCGCTCTCGCTAACTCCCCTATCTTGTCAGGCGGAGCCGAGGACCCGACCAGCACCTGCCAGACGACATTTCAATCAATACGGTTTAATCCTTTAATAAATACTATCTCAATAATTAGTATAAATTATATAAAATGTGCAAATATGCCATGCCAAACGGTACTGTGCAATCACACTAATAAAGTGCAAAACTGTTTACTAAAGTGCTGAGTTACGAGGCCCGAAGCAGTCAGTTCACAGTGACGAAGTTACCTTCGTCACAAACCCCTTTACTATTCAATGAAACACATTCAATGTTTATTTATTGTAAAAGCAATTGGGCTATTTCTCACACACACACACACACACACACACACACACACACACACACACACACACACACACACACACACACACACACACACACACACACACACACACACACACACACACACACACACACACACACACACACACACACACACACACACACACACACACACACACACACACACACACACACACACACACACACACACACACACACACACACACACGGGGTGCAGAATAGTTTCCCCCCACTTTTGTGCAAGACATCGGGGTACTGCTTTGCCCGGTCTTTAGCAGAAATGTTCGAAGTGATGCGCGAGCTGATGACGTCGTGTCATCTAAATCATCATCATCATCATCACTACTTCACGTCAAGACGAGTTAACTTTTTTTTCTTCTCAACTTTGTGTGGAAAAATGCGGGGATTATGCAGCCTTTTGATAAATATGCGGCCTTTTAAAAATCTGCGCCATTTTGCTGATTATGCGGTAAATTCTGCGATCGCAGAATCGCGTTTTTCTGGAGGGTCTAATTAAGAGTGGATATGATGGGTCTTCTTATAGGGATTTTGATTGAAAAAACTGAGAAAAATGAGAAAGCATACCTGGAGCCCTATGTTGAGGTAGAGGAAGCCGATGGTTCCCTTTTCTCCGAGTTCATCCTGTTTCTCCACTCCTCCCATCTCAACAATACACAGACTCTCAGGCTGGGCTGGCAGGGCCTGCATACTCAACGGCTGGAGGCAGTCCTGAATGATGAAGATTTAGAGGGTTAAGACCATTTCAACACAAAACATTCTTGTTGCAGTGCATAAACGTGAATGTGAAGTTAAGAGGTTTTTTTTCTTTTCTAGGTGGTATGGACATTGGAAATCAAGCTTTCTGCAGTGTCTTCTATTCAGCAACTGTCTGTGCACCCTTTTCATATTCAAGCTGCACCTTTTGAAAACAATTATTTGTCATCATTCAATAATTCCGTCACCAAAAACACTGAAACACTAAGTATCACTTTCACTAAAACATTCCCCAAGTAAGCAAAATTTTTCAGGTGCTTTGAGCTGGCATTCATTATGAAGTTCATCATTCTTTAATATTTCATGGAAACTAATCCTTTGTTTTTTATTGAGAACAGATTTTGTTGTTGTTGATAACTGCATTTTTGACGTTTTAGCCTCAGTCATAGTGTGAGGTCATCTAGAGTAAATATGCTGATGTCAACTCGGTCACTGGATTGGGGAAAGCTGCCATTTTAATGGAAGAGTCCAATCCTAGAGAATCTAAAGCAATTTTTTAGAAGAGCAAAGGGCTGGTCCTTCTTAGGAGGAGAGAAAGCACCGAGCTATCCCCTGGGGCAGGCTGGGTATTATTTGAACAAGCTTGGATATTACTTGTTGTTACTGACCTGAGAAGAAAGTAAACAAACTAATTATGGCAGGTGGGGATTCATGTCAATAATCAAAGAAGTAATGTGGCTTAAAACCCAATGTTGTCATGATGGAGGATAAAAAGGATTTACTGCATACCAAAACGTAGCTAGCAAGGCACTTAAGACAGGGTTTAGGTTGTAATGCGTCTGGAGGATTATGTGCTGATTTACAAACTAGTGTTTATTTTCTTACCGAAGGGTCCAGGGAGATGATTCGCACGGTGTTGTCTACCAGTCCCACAGCCAGGAACCGCGAGCGCTGCTCACCAGGAGGGACGTTAGCCAGGCTCATACACACAACGTCTGCAGACATCTCCTTACGCTCTGTGTACTCATTCAGCTGGCCAGACTACAGAGAGGAGAAAATAAACTGTATTACACATTTTCAGTCTGGTTTCATTATGCTTTTCACATTGATTGTCGAGTGTAAGTGTCAAGAGACATTATCCAATATTGTTGTTAAAGTGTTTCATGCATGTCATTACAAGTCAATAGAATTCTACCAAATGGTGGCAAAAAGTCATTGTTGCACCATCTTCTTTCTTACCGGGTCCATCTCAAAGTAGACCAGCTCCCCTCCAGTGAGAGCGATGACGACCTGTCGCTGGTTCACAGCGCAGCGCACAATGGTTTTCTTGCCAGGAGTCTTCCACTCGTTCACACGCTTGTCTGCTCGGATGTGGCGGATACCGTCTGGGTACACCTGTATGGAGAAACAGGGAGGGAGAGAGAGGAGATGTTATTACTTTGTTTTTACTTTATTCTGTTAACCTGTTCAACCCTGAGTTTTTCAGGTCTCAGGCTCGAAAATGACATTCCCAGAACAAATGACCATATCTTCACTTCTAAAAAGGGTTAAATTAATAATCTTTTTTCTCAAAGTAATGACAAACCTGTGAGTTGGATGTAGAATAGTCAGAATCAATATAGATGTTTTTTATTTTAAAAGAAAATTCAGATTGAACACACAAAAAAAAATGTACATAGTGAAAACTACCCTTGGATGATGGTAAGGTAGACTAAAAGCTTTAGGAATCCAAAGTACAACAAATAATAAGTTCCCTGTAAAAAGACTGATGTAAAAACAAGCGAAATTTGACTTTTTGGAAAGATTTAGCAAAAAAAAATTTGGGTGGATTTTCCATATCTCTGGACCCCTTGGTCGATTTTGATAAATGAAATCTCTTTATAACCGCTAGAGCCAATGGAATCGAGGGGAAATTCTACACACACAAACACGTTACCAAATAAGGAGTGAGAGTGACCAAAACCGGAAGCTGCATACACTCTGTTGGCTACCATTAGCAGCTAACTTTTTTTCTCCGATTTTTACATAAAAATGGAATTATGGATTATAAATAAGACACATTATTAACCTATGGATCAACCGATTGAGCCGCGTTTGTTCTCGTTTTAATGCCATTGAACACTTCTTTTGATCAGATTGACAGCTACGGTGAGACAATCTCCCGTAAAAGTACGTGTTGTGATGTCTGTGTTTGCTTCCCCTGTCACGAGTTCGGATCACTCAGTGATGATACCATACCTATATAATCTGTGGAGTCTCAGCTTTAATCGAATATCTTGTATGTGCAGTTACGATAAGTAATAAGGGTATCTTTATCTTGAGTTCTGTGCCAAAGTCAGTTTGCATTTTTTCGCTCAGGGGTAATTTAGATGCTTCTTATGAGACTTGTGTTGTGTTTTGTTTTGGTAAAAAGTGTTCATATCTTCAGTTAGCTGAAATTCTTCCCGTTAATCTGGTGCAACACATTAATAGTTTCATAAATGTTAAGAAGCCCTGAGACACAGTCTCGAAAAAAAAACGTTGGAGGGCTCCAGGGCTTAACAGGTTAAGATACAGCAAGGTAAGCATCTTTAAAAAGGAATCAGGATCAAATTAGATTTTGTCATCTGTGAGGCAATCTTTAACACTTTGCATGAAGTTTAAATATGTTTTTGTGTATATTGTGCAAAGATCGTTTTTGTAATGTTGCTTCGTCTAGACAAATTCTTGATTTGAATCAAACCTGCACATATTTGCGATCTCGTAATGATTCAAGACTGCTTGAATGTGGCCAGTACTTTTTCACCGGTATGAATAATGATATTAAAAAGGGACATTGCACCCACCTGCACCAGGGCGTCTTCACCGAGCAGCGAGCAGGAGAGAGTGGGTGTTGTTCCTAGGAATCCAGAATCTGTCACTTCCTCTACAGTCTCTCCGATGGAAAGAACCAGAGTAGCGTTCACGAAAGACACGATGATGTAGGCATCAAACTCATCTAATGAAAACAGGAAAGAAAATAAAATTGCTGATTGAGTTGTACCGAGACTAAACATGTTGAATAAATGTCCTAGGATGCTAGATGCTAAGGCAAGGTGATTCATGGCTTCTTTACTCATCATTGAAGTGCTCAGGACTGCATATTCCTTTAAAAGCACAGTCAGTATGTTGATGGAAGCTAAGGTCAGACATAATGCGCAACCTTTAGGCCAGGGGTGGGGAACCTCTGGCCCCCGGGCCGTATACGGCCCGCGAGACAATTTGATATGGCCCTCGAGGTAACTCACGAAAAAGAAAAAAAATTAAGAAATCTAGACGCAAAAGAATTAAACAAGCGAGTGCCTGTTTTTCCTGGCCAAGGTCAGGGTCCTTGAACTCAACACGAGCCTAACGTGTCATCACGTGGTATATCTCTCGTCCGACAGGGGTTTAGAGCTGCCGGAGAGCACCAGGACGTCGCTCCGGGCCGGGACATCACAAATGTCAGTACCCATAAGGAGCCGTACACATGCCGCAGTTTTTTGCGTGGCTGTGTCTTTAGTTGAAAGCCCAGTGGCGATCTGCTCATCTGTCATACTTATCATACAGTCAATAACTTTGTTGTTATTAGCATCTGGTTAGCTAGCTATGCTAACGAATATAAGAAGCTTTTTCTCCAACCAGTGAGGTAAAGGCACATCTTTATATGATCATTATAGTTATCAAAAAAATAAGAGAATAAAGTAAACAGGTATAAAATACTATATGACAGTCAAAAAAAGTTGTTATTAATAAACAAGAATACAGTTTGAAAGGGAAGTGATTTGTAAAATATCCATAAAGAAAAAGAAAATCTGCTTACAGTTCTGTTTCATATGGATGTTGAGAGATGGATCCATAGATCTCTTAATGTTGCTCTCAAATTGATGCTTTTAACTTCAACATTTAAACATGCCCCCCGGACCCCCCTAGAGGAGGTTAGGTTCCCCCCCCCTAAATCATATTCACATGGATAGGAAACTAAATTGCACACATCTTGCGTCCACATCTTTCTGTTTTGGTAGTCATGCCACAACCGTGCACGTGCATGCATGTGCGAGTCATGGTAAAATATCTGGATTAAGAGGTTGCTTTTTCTTTGCACAACATGAAAGAAAGGCGAAATGAATGGGCTGTGATTTTAGTATTTTTAAGCAGAGGTCAATCATTTGTACGGCCCTCGGAGGATGTTGAAAAAATTGAAATGGCCCTTGAGAGGAAAAAGGTTCCCCACCCCTGCTTTAGGCAGTCGGGCAGGAACTGTAAGAGAATATTTTCATCTGATCTGTTTATAGAGTCTTTTATGGTTCCTTAGAGTCTGTGATACTGCAAACATCTGCTTGTAGTCAGTCAGAGACTTCTCTGTGGGTTGAGGTCACAGGTCAAACGCATCTCCTATGTCCGAGGGTTGACCTGGCAGGATCTCTTTGAGACAAGCAGATCATTGTCTTGCATCGGCTAATTGATTATACGCGGGCTTTCTGGAAGCCCGCCTCTCCTCGTGTTGGTTAGATGTTTTGTGTCTTTTGGGGCAGAGATCGCTGGTGGAGCACTGGGCATGTGTGAAACTTAGATGATCTCCCCGGCCGTATGTAATTAATGTACTGTGATCAATAAACTCTTCAGTGCTTTTGGCTAACAACGGTTCCAGACTCCTTCATTCTACCTCAACATTGCAACAACAGAAGTTTACCTTCACAGGAACAACACATGTGGGCCTGAGAATAATAATGGAGTGATGTAGCAATAGGGGCGGCTCTATTTTCCCATCGATTATCACTGCAGCTACGTGAGTTGTTAGGCACTTAAAACAGAACCAATGAAGGCATTCATCTTCTCGATTAATGATCAGTTAGCCAGGGGCTCACAACATATTCTTATATGCAGGGGTGCCAGGGCTCAACATTAAGGACTGCCCGATGGCCCGGGGCCATCTAGTATTTAGCTCGGGCAATGAAGCCTCACCTGCTGGTTGCCTGATCGGGCAATCTATTATGCCAGTATCATGCCGCTCGCGGATCCAGTAATGAGTGACCCGACAGTAAAATTAAACATATCTATAACTAGTTTAGGTAGTTTGAGAGGTCATTAAAATAGCTACGTGTGATATTCTAACCTGAAGTGTGTGTTCTGCGTGTTGACTCGTCAGCAGCAGCTGATCTCTCTCTCCCGTCAGATTAGACTTCACTCGCGTTTATGTCCATATCGATCAGATCTAGCTAGTTCTAGCTAATGATATGACTACCTGCTTATTAAAAGACACCTAAACAATAAGTGTCGCTATGCAACTGGGTGAGGCCACAAAGTATAGCGCAGCATTATGCATTTGTTTACATGCCCACCGGAACCCCGAGGCATTACCAAAAGATCAACGCACAATCAACCCACACAGGACATCTCTTTCTCCACATTACGTGTTAGACATTAGAATTTACTCTTCTTGTCTGTCACATAAGTGGCGCAACTGAAGCGGTATTGCGCTAAAGGGAAATTATTTTGACCGGACATTTTGACCGAAGAGATTTAGATTTGCCGGCTAACGGGAACTCTGACGTCGCCATTTTGTGTGCTTCGCGGATGCGCTCGGCTCCTCTCGACTGCTGCTCGGGTCTGCTCGGTCAGCTTCCGGATGAGGAGGCATTCGTTCGACCAACTTACAGTAGATAACATTACAAACATTTTTAACTGGGTTCATACTAGTGTAAATAATGTTTGTTTTGGCATTAATAACTGAATGTAATGTTTTCTACTTTTTTACATCTGGGAAGGCATTTGCCTTCATCAGATGGAAAGTGTCTTGACCAACAACTTAAGTATTTCTTATAGCTATGCAGGGCATGAAGCGAGCAAACACAAACAAGAACAAACAAACAAGTGAAATGAAGAATAAAATTGAAATTGTACAATATAATATTGTGGTGGTTCATCTTATAATTCAGTCTAGAGAACCAGACAGCATCTAAGACAGGCATCCTCAAACTACGGACTCTGGTCCGGATCCGGACCGAACCACCACTGTCTCCGGACTCTGAGCAAATTATACTTTTCATATGTATTATCTTTCTGTATTATATGTGAGACATCGCCACAACGCATTCGCAACGAGTCAAAATTCTCCGCTATGTCCACTGCAAACAGCGCTCTGCATGTCTGACTGTTCCACTGTGTTCCACCTGTGTGTGTCAACGCTTTGGTCCAATCACATTCAGCATCCAGTCAGCGTTTTTTCCCCCCAAACAATCTGCGAATCAGAGGCACAGTAGGGCGGGTCTTCGCGGAATGCGGGTGGGAAACATGTGTGTTTCTCTTTCAACCTGTCTAAGTCAGAGCGAGAATTTTAAATAAATAAATTCAGAGCGAGAGTTAACAGCTCATCTAGTTCCATCTGTACTGTAGCTAGTAGCCTAGTTTCACCTACCGGGGTGGCAACTGACACCCTAAAAATAGGCCTTGCCACTCCAGTTGGCAGCTTTGTTTTGAAAGAAAAGTTGTGGCTCATCGGACATTTATGAGAGAAAGTCTCTAATGTCCGAGTGCAAGTGAATGCAGCACAAGATGCACGTCATGTAACCCCTCCCCCGGTCCTGGCGCGAGCGTGGACATACGATTGGCGGCGATTTCATTTTGAACTGGACGGCGCAAAACGAGAAGCATTCGGACCCAAGCGCTGAAGGAATGAGGTATTTGCGGTCTACACTGACAGAGAAGAGACTGTCAGTGTGGCTGTACTCAGCATTGAATCAAAACGCACTAAAGCTGTTGATCTTAATACGTTTGTGAGGCGTTTTGCTGAACAAAATGGTAATCGCCGCATTCAGCTGTAATAGACATGCCAACTTGATGCTCTGCTCACGGATGAGCATACACAACTATTAAGATGATGACCTTACGTGTGTAAATATATTGTTTTCTTTGAGGGGGTCTGCCCCCAAAAAACTGTTTTCAGTCCTGAGAAAGTCAAATCAGACGGTGTGTAAAACTACACTGCCCAGCCAAAAAAAAGTAACCACTTTGATTGAACTAGGCCAGTAGGTAAGGGCTTTCCACTGGATAATAACTGCAGTATAAAAGAATGCATGACTGAAGTGATGGAGACCATGTTGAAGGCAAACAAAAAGAGGAAATAACAGGTCAAATCAAGCAAATCCCCCTCTCAGATTCCACAGCAACCAGAAGAACATAAATACTGGCTGGTGATTTGATTCATCAGCTTTGTGATGGAATAAAAAATGCACAGTGCATTTCCTTAGCTGTGGGTGAGTCCACTGACACCACTGACAATGCTCAGTTGCTGGTGTTTGTGAGTTGTTATGATGAGGCAAAGGGGGAGTTTGTTGAAGATGTGTTGGGCCTGACGAACCTCAGTGGACACACAAGGGGGCAAGACATTTATAAAGCAATAATGGGAATGCTGAATGAAAGAGGGTGCAGCTGCCTTTATTCCTAACTGTGCAGCTCTTACACTGCGACTCTGAGGGGTCAAGCACAGACACAATAACAATGAAAACTGCTGCATAGATTATTTTTGTTTTTGCAACCTCGTGTTAAGAATCTTGTTGTAATTGTTTAAAAGTTTGAATGACCGTGATAAACGGACCTTTGTCTTATTGAAACATTTATTTTGGACCTTTAAGATTTGTATTTGAGTACCCCTGATCTAAGACCTGCAAATATCTAAATGTTCTAGGGGGAGGCCCCCCAAACCCTTCGTGCGTCATTTCGTCCGCGCGCATTTTTCAGGGCAATCTCTATTGGGCTCAGGGCCATCTGTAAATTAGCTTAGACGGCACACAGGGCCATCTCCCAACATCCTTAATGTCATGCACTGGGTGCACATAACTTTTTTAATGAGTTACTCAGATGAGTACCAGGACAGCGTTCGGTACTCACCACACACGAAGTGTGGTGTTAATAAGTGCAATCTTCCTCAGTGTCCTCTAGTTCCTGTTCTTGCATGCTAGATGATGAAGATGCTGCAGATGCACCTCCCTGTCTCTGTTTAAGCCTCCAATTTGCTTTCTCCAAAACGTGTTGCCAAAACTGTGAAGTCATTTCCTGAGGCCAAGTTGAAGGATCAAATACTAAGAAATGATCACATGACTTGAAGTCATATCTGATTTCAGATGTGGGAAGTAACTAAGTTATTCAAGTACTGTACTTAGGTACAATTTTGAGATTCTTGTACTTTACTTGAGTATCTCAATTTGACCTGGGTGAATGATGTGAAATATAACCAAGTGTTAAATCAGACTTTAGTTCCACCTGGAGTAAAGTCACAAGCTACCCTGCAGTATACAAAGTCATTCCAACTAGCTGCACCTTTACCAGCTTTGAGAACACTTTCATGATCAATCATTATAAAACACATCATATATATTATTCTGAAATGGACCAATCTGCACAATGACTACTTTTACTGTCGCTACTTTCACTATATTTTGATGATAATACTTTTCTACTTTTACTTGAGTAACATTATCAACAGTACTTCTTCCACCTCTGTCTGATTTCAAACTCTTCCATTAACACCCTAAGTTTGCACCTGTGTCTTTGGTTTTACTCCACCTTGTTGTAAAGAAAACTGCAGCAGCTTGACCACAGTGCGCGAACTTTATGATCAGCTGATTTTGCGCAGTTCTCCAGTGTGTGCGCGGGGCACAGAATGTGCCCAGGGGAGTCTCCCTCCGCAGCCATTTGACGTAGTTTTAGTACATTTCTGTTCATACATACCGACGTTAACAACAACCACGCCTGTGCACACGGTGAACAACTGTCGTCCGGTGATCTAAGCCTCTGCTTCACAGGTCCGTCGGTTATGGCCTGCGTGGCTCGGCTCAATTTAAATCGGTACAATAAAGTCCGGAGATTTTTTGCAGGGAGCAAAACGCCAAAGTGGCTGCCTAATGTCTTTTGGTGTTTTTGACATGTCTAGTAGTTCAGAGTTGACAAGAAACACGTGTAGACGAAATATGTGTTCTGTTTTGATGACCTATCAGGTACGCAAAGGCGCGCAGTGACAAAAGTGACGTGACGCATTTCAGATTTTTCCCGCACCAGTTATGTGCACCCCTGCTTGTATGAGCATTCCTAGCTTTAAAAATGTACGTTTTGTAAGTGTTTGTCTAATTTGAGTTTGTTTGTTCAGAACATGGTGGTCTATGTTGGTAACTTTCATTTTTTGTGATGTTTATAGTTCAGAGATAATTTTTATAGATTTAAACATAAGGGGAAATTGCAGTCACATTTCTTGACAACAGCTGTATTTCCGCTTACTTTGAACTTAAGGTTGACATAGCAGAAGCTGCTAGTGTCATACCACATTGCTGGCCACAGTATTGTAAGAGCGCCCTCTGCTGGTCAGACTATATGGTGACAATTTCTTAGTTGCAAAAAGGCGGAATATAATTGTTTCAGAAGAAGAAGAAAAAGAGTAAAACGGGAAAAAAGTGTTACCTTCTACATGTTTGCGTACTGTCCACACAGCATTAGGGTTACCGGGCAGCTCAGACACAGCCATCTCTGATACCTGATAGAGACGGACAGAACGTGGAGAAAGAGGTAAAGGGGGTTTAGTGTTTATCAAATATCACATTATGAAAGTTGGTGCTAATTCTAAGGATGTTTCAAGGTCTGTCACATGCAACCAGTAAACAACCAGTGATTGATTGGTGCATTGTTTGTAATCAGCTTACAGCGGGGACAGTGCATTATGTAAAAACAAATGTTTTTGTGCTGAAATCAGAGCAATCGAAAAACTCTTCAGTTTTATTCAGAGAAGAGACATGAACATACTCATCATTTTTTCACACAGCTGCGTGTACGTGTGTCTATTATTTAATGTTACATGTTATGATGTAGTTGTGTGTTTGGTGTGTACCTCCAGTCCATGTCTAAGGACCCTCAGAGTAGACCGTGGTCCTCGTCCACAGGCAACGTACAACTGTGGTGTATCTTCATTGGCCAAATCAGCAATCTGTCAAAAACAGGAGGGGAGTAGACAATGAGCCAGGAAACAAAGACACCAATCAAAAACGTCTTCAGGTAGAGTAATACGGCTCTCTGTATGGGCGCAAGTGCACGCTAACACACTGACCTGACAGGTCATGATGGGGGATAAGTTCTCCTGTTCGTCCACCAGCACGAGGTTCTTGAGGGGGCGGGGCTGGAAGAAGAAGGTGTCTCCCTCCTCCAGGGGCATTGCAGAGGAGAACTCGGGCTCCTCGTCATCGTCACCCAAGTGAGCAATCTGGTAAAGGTAACTAAAGGGGGAAAAAAGTTGCACATTATGAGAAAAATAGAAAATAAATAAAGCAAAAAATGAAAAATTCTGAATGGTTGTAAGTTATAGTCTTAGAAAAGTAACAGACATTATCATAAAAAAGGTAAGACAGACTTAATTCTGGCAATTTACTTACTGGTTGCCAAATTCTGAAGACACAAACAAGAAGCCAGTCTTCAGGACACACATGGCTGTTGCCACGGGGATGGTGTCAAAGTATTTTAGCCGGATTTCTGTGACCTGAGAAATAACACAAAGCCCTTATAAACATACAGATTTAAGGTAAAACAATAAAAAAGTATTCACTAAATCAATCCAGAGGTTTTAATTTATTTTGTGAAGATATGTGTGGTATTACAATTATGCTGCATCGGGTGAAAATGCATTGTACTACACGGTTTGTCTCACTCTAAAATTGACCAAAGAATTAGTCGCATAAAGAAGTGGGTATGCATCCAATCTTAATCTTTCCTCACCATTTCCTCATCTGTTTCCAGCGTAACCTTGAAGATGTCTCCCTGCTCAGTTTGGGCCAGGAAGAAGAACATGGACTTGGTCTTGTGAGTTGCTGAGCAGACAAAAATCATGCCGCGCTCCGGGTCATCCAGGTCATTCTGCAGGATGGAAGAGATTAGGAAAAGGAGAGAGGAAAGGAGAAGAGTCAAATAAAAGTGCATGCAGAGAAAAAAAAAAGAAGACCAAACACAGCTTCCAAAAAAAGAGTAAAAAAGGATATGATAGGGCTGTATTACAAAATCACTACTTAAATGATATCCTGAGTTAGAAAAGAGAAGAGACTAAGAGAAGTTTCACATTTTGTTGCCATGCTGTATGAAGTTGTAGTGAAATATACTCAACAAAACCAGCAATGGATAGTTTACTGTGTAACATGTATAGAGTTCTTTTGTTTCTATTGTTAAGACTCACCCTGCGTCGCGGGATGGGACAGCGGATGTCAGGCTGGTCTCCAAAGTTCTTGTAGGTGATGTAGTTTTCGGAGCAGATCAGAACTCCACTGGGACCATCCGAACCACCAGGAACTAAAGAGAGAAGAGTGTTTAGTGGCCTAGGCTATTTTTTTAAATCACGAGGGCTGCAGTGAAAACAGCTGGAATCCTTAAGCAGTATGTGCTCCGTGTTCGAATCCAAGGTGTCCTATTCCTACTTTAACTTGCCCCTGAATGTGGGGGTGCTGAGATCAGAGGTGTTTAATCTTTCTCCATTGTAAGTCAGAGAAGAGACATGACAAACTCATCATATCAACAACAGTTTTATATGGGTTTAATTGATGGTTTATCCAACAGGCCAGCCAGAACTCTAAATAGATTATTCTAGAAACAAACGTTGCATTTTCTAAATAGACCAATGTTATCCCTAGAGTGCAAACCACATGGTCCAAAATGCTCACCAGTGATGAGAAAGTTTCCATGCTCTTCCAAAGCCTCACTGTACTTTCGCACCACGTGATTCAACCCGAGGTCCAGCTCGTAAAAGGTGAGCGTCTGTTGCGTGTTGGCGGCAGCTTCTCCTGTCGGGTCACTGTCAGCCTCCTGGAGAAAAAAAAATAACACGCATGATCAGGAGCAGTTGGGAAAAAAGTGTAAAAATGAGGCCATTGTTACGCTCAGTATACAAACTATGCGAGTGGTAGTTGATTTTAATCAAACAAAAGGTAAAAAGAAAGTCTTACAGCATCAGTTTAGTCAGCAATATTTGTTAAAAGCAGGCATTGAAATTGAACTTGTGTGCTGAGATCAGAGAGGTTCAATCTTTCTCCAGAGATAGTCAGAGAAGAGACATGAGAATCTCATCATGTCTGCAACACAGGCCAGTGGGCGTTATCTTACAAAGGCTTAACCTTGACTTTTCACGACCTTACCTCATAGTCCATCTCCAGGCAGGCAAACATGGGGTTTTCAAAGCCGACGTCGACTCCCACTACGTGGTACACCAGTGTGTTGGCTTTGTGGGCTTCCAGTGGAGAGGAAATGGTGAGCCTCGCAGCTGCATCTCTGTTCAGAATATAAACCAGCTTCTGTTTCTCGGTCGCTCCTAAACAGGGGAGAGAAATATTGCATCAAGGTTCAGGGATGCAAACTCATCAGGTATTAAAAAGGTGACAATGATCTAGCTGCACCTTTACCAGCTTTGATAACACATTAATGCATCAATAATTATAATCAAAATATATATTATTCTGAAATGGACTAATCTGCATAATGTGTATGTATGGTACTTTATGTAGATTTTGATACTTTTACATGAGTAACTTTTTGATTTCAGGACTTTTACTTGTAACAGTTTTCCTAAACTCTGGTACTTCTACACGATCTGAGTACTTCTCCCAACTCTCTTTATAGCAGGGGTGGGGAATCTATCCCTCTCCTTTTCTCTGCTCCACAGGCCATCCCATACTTAACCACAAACCTGTTACCAGGGCAACTGCTCAGCACGATAGGAAACGGCAGCAAGCACACCACATCTGAGCTCACTTTAGTGTCTGGTGGTTCTTTTTTCTTAGCAGTAAAGATAGTTGTAACCCCTAAAGCAGGGGTGGGGAACCTGCGGCAATTTGGGACGGCCTCGAGGTAATTTATAAACAAGTGTCTAAACGTGTGCCTGTTTTTCCTGGCCAAGGTAAGGGTCCTTGAACACAACACGAGCCTAACGTGTCATCACGTGGTATATGTCTCGTTTGACAAGGTGTAGTGCTGACGGAGAGCGGCTCCGGCACTTCCAAAAATTGCAGTACCCATAAGGAGCCGTACACATGCCGCAGTTTTTGCGTGGCTGTGTCTTTAGTTGTAAGCACAGTGGCATCTGTTCATCTGTCATACTGATCATTACAGTCAATAACTTTGTTGTTATTAATATCTGGTTAGCTAGTCTAATGTCTTGCCGTCATTTGACGCCCTTATACAGCTCGGGACGCCCTGAACGCGAGCCGAGGGCGTCCAAAAATATTAATAATTCGAGAGAAGATCGAGAGTTTTTATCGCTTGAAATGACGAAAAGGAAAAAGGACAAGGACATCCCTCTGTTGGAGGGGCAAAGGAGTCTGGTGGGATTCTTTTCGGAGTATTGAGGATCGTTTCCCCGACATCGGCGGTGCCTGCTACAGGACAACACGGAACGTGCGCGATTTGGACGCGATGAGCGGTGCTAGTGGAGCACGCGCACCAGAGCCTCGCAGCGGCGAAACTGAGGCTCCGTGGCAAACTGTGGTAACATGAAGAGCCGTTTGGGAGCCGAAACAGCCGGTGCTTTAATAGAGCCGAGCCAAATGATCCGGCTCACTAACGTAAAAAGATAGTGTCTATAAGGGACGGCTCAAGTCAAAATTCAACACCCCCCCCCCCCCCTCTCGGGGTGGACGCCCTCTCAGCCCTGGTCTGGCGGAAACACAGCTTTATGCACTGAAAAAAAGAGGCTGTTGAACAGCACTACATATTTTTTGTTTCTAGTTTCTAGCTTTTCTGGTTATCACCCGTCCCCTTGTGTGTTATGTAGCTTTTTCTGCATGTAAACGGTCTGCAGAGTCACAAACCCTCAAAGTACACCCTGTAGCGAATAAAACTCTAACACAGAAAAGACCTGTCTGTGCTGCCCCAGAACGCCTCGTTGGGCATTTCTCTTTTTCCATTGTTTACATCTCGGGTATAGTGACTTTACGTCCGCGGAGCCGTTACGTTTGGACCAATCCGCAGACTTCCTCACACACACGCACTCGGCGGGACGTTGCGAGGCTCGCTGCTGCGAGGAGCGGGACACTGTGAGCTGGCTCACTGGTGTGGGGTCTGCGAGACAGCGTGACACCACGGAACTCAGCCTGGGCACACACACAAACTCCCAGCCAGGCTGCGTGTGTGTGTGTGTGTGCCCAGGCTGAGTTCCGTGGTGTCTCGCTGTCTCGCAGAGAGGGGGGGGCAGGAGCTCCAACAAGCCGTTTAGGACAGGGAGTGAATACACATACTATACAGAGATGCTGTATGAGAAACCAATGTGAGTTTGGAAAATTGCACAATGTAAATCTATTCGACCTCAACAATGGAATTATGATCAGTAGAAATGGCCATGACATGGGACCTTTAAAATATTGAGTTCTTCATACCTATCATCACAGCTCTGCCTTTTGGGTCCACGGCCAGGAACTGTCCGGGGACGATGCGTCTGCAGCCACTCTTTCCAAACGTTTCCTGGTGGATCTTCTCAAACATGTTTTTTGATGGATGATATTCCAGGATGACAATACGTCCACTGTCACTGCCAATAACAATGTAGTCTGTAAGAAACAAAACAATTTAGCAAAAGATAGTAAATGCAGTTAAAGAACTGTGCTTCCACTAAGCCTTTATCAATGTATATACAGGTCATAAATGTAAACGTTGGATCTCTGGAAAGAGAGAGAAACGTTTCCCCTTCAGTGAGTGAATGTGAAACCAGTAGCTAACTAGGCACATATGCAATTCTATTTCATTAAAAAGTATTCCTTTCACGCAGCGTCCACACGGCGGCATGCGTGTCTGAAGCTCGACCAACAACATGAATCTCCCGCCCCGGACACACAAGCACGCGGTTTGATTGGCTAGAGCTTGTACTGGCATATGATTTGATTGGCTGACGCTTCCGTCGAAGCTTCAAAAGTTGAACATTGCTCAACTTTTGAAGCGAGCAACGCAAGCTCCCACAATGCAGTTGGGCAAAGTGTGACGTCACCCCATTCAAAGTGAATGGGCAGAAGCGTTGAAGGACACGCCGTCAGGGTGTCCTTACTATAGAGTCCATGATTTTCTACGTACCTTTGGTTCCTCCGGTGAGTCTGAAGGCCATCAGGGATCTGACGATACCAAACACCTCCACTGTGAGCAGAGTGTGAACCTTTCCCGTGTTGGCATCTGGCCGCAATAATTCTATGATCTTTCCCCTGGAAACAACGATCTCCTGCATCTTGGTTCCTACCAAGATAAACAAAGTATTTTCAGCATTGAGCATGCGTCCGTCATGTATACATATAGTAATTGGAGGCTAGATATGGCAAAGCAAGTCTAGTATTTTGTGTTTTTTAAGTTTGCATTGCAGTATTGGGGTGCTATTTACTGTAACATTCAGAACACACACACAAAAGCACAAATGTGTGTATTTGGAAATAACAAATCCAAAAGAAATGACAGGCATAGAGGATATGTGCAGAATGAAGGACAGGCAACCTACCCAAATGGATAGGAGAATTAACTAGGACGCTTATTTAAAAACGAAAACACAGACTGATGCAAAGACAGGTCTATTTTACACATATTATATTCATTTATCAGACAACTCTGTCCCCCATGGACTCAGACATCTGGATTATTTTAAGGTCAAGTGTTTTGCTCTAGAATGATTGATCAAAGGAGAAGCCATGTATTGTACTTCTAGTCCATACATTTTAAGTGTTGGGAAATGCAGAAACCCAAAAACGAAAAGAAGGCAGGTGGGGAACTGACCTGAAAAGTTCCCATGGATAGCATGAGTGATGCCAGTGGCACGCTGCAGGGTGATGTTGTACAGAAACATGGCTCCCTTTCTGTGGTTTTCCCACCAGGATCTTCAGGGGCTGCAAAAAGAGCACTAAGCCCAGCTCAAAACTGTAGAGAAAGAAGGAAGTTTGAGTCCAAACGGTAATATCTTCGTTAATATTATAACAGTTGAATTCAAGTGGAGTGTTTTAAATGATACTTTACAATGTGTTGACTTTAAAAGTGACATGTAAACTTAACTTAGCTGCACATTTGAGGAAGTAGAACGGTATTCAAAATACTTAGGTTCCCAAAACAAAATCATTGTTATAGCATAGCCATTAACAGTTAACAGTGAGTTAAAAATGTGCTTAACACAAACTTAAGTTGTGCTTTCAGTTTAATACATGCATATAACCGACAAGCAATGCTAACGTTAGCTTAGCAGAGTGGCTACGAACTTCACGCTAGGCGAGATCTCGTAATCAATGTTTACGGTTGTTTTCAAATTAGCTCCTTCGTTGCAAAGCCAATGAAGCACCATTTTACCCATCTTTACCCTCGACACTTAAAGTTGGCGAAAACTGTGTACGCAGTTAGCCCATATAGCTCACTTATTGACATGCATTCAACGGACTGAGAGCCCATTCATAGAAAGCGCCACTTTTTCCCGACGCTATCGTTTCTTTTAGGGCTATATTACTTAAGACCTTGCACACTTCACACACATACAACCCCCATCTGAATAAGAAAAGGCTGTAGAATTGTACAATACAATATTTACCGGCGTGTTATCTATGATGTTTCAGATTTCAGATGGATAAAGTATAATTTATACTAACAATTTCCATTAAACTCAACGATGAGCCGCCGTTTGTGGGTCCTTCGTCAGTCAATAGTACGTCGTCATGAGGGGTGGCCTACACAGTGCCTGATAGAAATGTCAAATATGCTGTAATAACACCACATTTCCAACAGGTGGCGACACAGACCTGAAGAAAGTATCTTTATACAGAGAACAGGAAGAGGATATTTCATGAGCAGAAAAAGGCATTTCTTACTTGTCTGAAAATGTTCCTTTATTTGGTATTATTTCACCCTTCATACCCTACTGACCAACTCATTTGATAATACATTGAAGAGCTGTTATTGCACCATCTATGCAAATGCATGTCATGCAGCCAAACTCATTTTAAAATTCAAAAGAAAACTAGTTTATTTAAAATATTATTATTGTTTCAGTAAATGTGTCAAACGTGATCAAACTGTGCACAAAACTAAAGCAAATTCATCAAATAGTTCAGCCCACATAAATCATACAGTTAATCACTGAGTGCAAACATGAATATAGCTTCATTAAAATGTTGTGTTAAGATGATACAGATCATTCACTTTGGTCTGATAGTGTATCCCGTTTTCTCAACATTCAAAGACTTATAAGAAAAACTGCATTCAATGGGTTACGCAGCTTTTTTCTCCCTGTCTTGATCATCGGTAACCTTCAGGATGGTTTGGTACTTACTTTGGTACTTTGGTCCAAAAGCACAGCTGACGTCTGGGAATGAACACAGTCACTGTGCATACTTACAAACACACACAGACACACACACACACACACACACACACACACACACACACACACACACACACACACACACACACACACACACACACACACACACACACACACACACACACACACACACACACACACACACACACACACACACACATGCACGCATGCGCACACACAAACACACACGCGCGCACAAACGCACACACCATTATAGTGGTAAGGTGGACTGTTGAAACGCTTCTTTCACTTTGCACTGCTATCATGGCCTTAGTACTATTTGGATTGGATGTAGCCTACTCTAAGAAGACTACCAGTCTTTTTGACAATATTTAATATCGGCCCTGATGGATCCTCAGTTTCATGGTCCATTTAATGTGCTCAAGGAACCACAAAATGAAAACTGAGCAAAATTCTGTTCTCAACCTACTGAGCAATTGTGTAATCTTACTGGAAACCTTTGCAACCTTTGTGGAATTTGATGAAATGTATTTTTCAGGATCACATTTTAGTTCCATAACTAATATTGAGATTAGAGGAAAGCAAGCCTAACTCTTAAGTTTCATATGGAGAAAGAATAATGTCTACCTCACCCCCAGTCTCTGATAACTTGTGATTCTGGTGATTTGTTCCAATTTGTTGAGAAAAGCTTAACCATTATTACTTTTGTTCAGTTGTGAGTAAAGATGCTACTTTTCTTGGCTATTGCAATAATGTACATTATGTGTAAATACTGCAAGCTTTAAAATGATTTGCATTCATCAAGAATCATTACCTCAAGATGGCCCTGAGAGATGAGTGAATTCTGTGCTGAAAATAGCAAGGGGAGTGAGTTAAAGTGGGTTCCATTTCTTCATGATCGCTGCTGATCAGGGAGCCACAATCTAGTTCAATCAACCATTATTGCACCTGGCTAGAGTATAGGAAAACAATGATTATAACCAGGGGTGCACATAACTTTTTTGCCCTGGTTCTCAAAGGAGCACCTGGGATGTTGCTTGGTGCTCATCCTTAAAATGAAATAAACCGTAACTTTTGAGGGGGTCTTGACTTTATTTGCCAGACACACGGCACTGAACACACATCCAGAGGTGAACACAGAACACACATGCAGAGGTGAACACAGAACACACATGCAGTGGTGAACACAAGACAACATTAGCACGACCAGTAATCCTACAAGCTGTCATCACTACCTCCTGACTGTTCTCCTCACTGTCAGACATGGTAGCTGATGATGTAGGCCTACTTCTTTCTCTCTGGTTGAGTCTGCGATTAGCTGCTTGCATCTACAAGTCAACAGCTGGTTTTGGGTCGAAAGTCTCTGTTGTCATCTTAGACAAGTGGATGTAATCAAATAAGTATGTGAACATAACCAATAACCTATAGCCAATAACAAATGAATGTAACTTATTTTATTTGTGTTGTTCATTCATATCTTATTTTACCTTAACATTTATTTATTTATGCATTTTTTTTTATCTCTCCAGTTTTAAAGGATATTTTTGGTTACTGTCTTATACATTGGAATGATTTGAAACCTGTTTATCCCAATAATTATAAAGGAGTGCCTTGGAAATATGTGTTTACATAAATTGTGACCAAACCGTTTGAATTTAGACTAAGAGTCCTTACATGTACCTCACTGAGCTGTAGTATCAGCCTCTCAGTCTGACTGGAGAGGACTCTCCCTCCACATTATAGTAGAAACATCTTCTTCTTATATCCGTTAGAGCAGCTAGCACGGCACCAGATTCTAATAACAACAACGCTGGTACCGGTGCACCCTCCCTCTCTCCCTCTCTCCCTCTCTCCCTCGCATTTTGGCTGTGAGCTGCGGGCGCCAGATAAGCCAACATCCCCCATTTTCATCACTTACAGCGCCCATCGTACAGGGCAAATGAAACGTGTAACCGGGGTGAAAAGGGTGTTA